ACTCATTTTGTATTTACTAATGAATATGTGTACCGTTTTGAATAAGACTTATATATATGTAGAGAAAAAAGCTTTATATTCTGCCTGCCTATTCATTCAGGAACACAGAGACGTTAGAATAGTCTGTCTTTTCAATCTAATAAACAGAGACTTTTAAGGAAAAATATTACTTATATAGAAGAAGTATTTTTCTCTTCGAATATTGTAAGCACTCTAACTCGTCGTGGTAAAGGTTTCAAATGCTGATATTTGAACTAAGTAGAGTAGGCAAGGAGAGGAACAAATTGAGCTATAAACATTGTACCTTTAAATTAGACAACGAGTTCACTTACATGTAATTAAAAGAAAACTTATAAAAAAGAATCAAACGTGCAATATGGTCTACCGTAAATGCATCTTCTTTCAACTTTCTCAGCTCTAGAATATTCGAAAACGGTTCAGCGTATAACAAAATGTCAATTTGACAACGTTAAACGTTAACTTTCTTTAACGTTAACGTTAAAAGTGATCAACGTCAAACGTTAAAATTAACGTTAACGTAAATTACGTTAACGTTAATTTTAACGTACCGTTAATGTGACAGTCCTATTTACAGCTCAAGTTACAGCATTTACAGATCTTCTGTTATTAATAAAGCAGCAAGAATGCGGTGGAAGATAATTTTTCCTGATTTAAGATTTCACAAAAGCGTTGAAGGATCCTGGATGTAAGCTACACGTCATAAGCTGTCTGATTATACTGGCGAGGAAACCACTTCAACTGTCCGATGGCTTTTTTCACGAAATCTAGTTTACAACGAGGGATGTCCGAGTTCCGTCAATTCCGGAATTTTGCAAAATCCACGAGAATTTTAGTCGTTACCACGAGAATTCTCCTTCTCACACAGGAATTCTGATAAACCACTTACTTTCTTCCCGAGAATTTTACTTTTCCACAGAAATTATGAGCATTCCCACGAGAAATCTCCTTCACGAGAATTTTACTTCTATCAAAGGAATGGAGAATATCCCGGAGACATTCCGCACGAGAATTTTACTTTCACACGGGAATTTTGAGAATTACCACGAGAATTTTAGTCTGTTACACGAGAATTTTAGTCTCTTGCCCGAGAATTTTACTTCTATCACAGGAATTGAGAATATCCCGGAGACACTCTCCATGAGAATTTTACTTTCACACGGGAATTTTGAGAATTACCACGAGAATTTTAGTCTCTAGCACGAGAATTTTCCGTGGGTTAGGTTCTGAACTTGATTTGCGGAGTGAACTTGAATTGAAGCTGCGTTGAAATACGAGTTCTATGTTAAGAAATCCAGAATGGTCGTGAAATGCGGCAACACGCACCGGCGATAAAGTTCATATTGTACCTAAAGGAATTTATAACAATGTAAGATTGGGGATTAATTGTAAGTATTACGTGCAGGTGAAATACACAAAAGTTTCCACTGAGGATTCGTGTTAAACAGCAGGATTCGATAATATGTCGTTTGTGGCTCTTCGAGTAGTGACTCACTATCACAGCCTCACCCCCCCGCGCCTCCCCGCCCACTTCAACCTCTGCCTTTTCAAACATTGTGTACTACACAAGTAGAATTCTCGTCTAAGAGACTAAAATTCTCGCGTACACAGACTAAAATTCTCTTGGAAATTCTCGAAATTCCTGTGGAAAAGTAAAATTCTCGTGAAGAATGTATTAGGGATGTTCCCAGTTCCCCTTACACAAGTAGAATTCTCGTGTAAGTGACTGTAATTCTCGTGTAGAAGACTAAAATTCGCTTTGAGTTTGCTGCTCTTGCTTCTTTCATAACTAAACTTCTCGTGCGGTAGACTGAAATTCTCGTGAAAGGAAGTGAAATTCTTGTGGAGGGAGGGAAAATTCCGGAATTTCGAGAATTCTTTCTGCTTGTGATTTGTGTACTATATTTGGGTTTTAGTCAAGGGGAAAATTCTTACGATAACAGCAAAATTCTCGTGGTAAGAGTAAAATTCCGGAATTGATGGAACTCGGACACTGCTGTTTACAACAGGTAATTGAGTATGCTGAACCCGAATATCATAGTGGTTTGGGCGTCTAGGTCTCCAGAGATCGGTTTTCCGGGACACCAATTTTCAGAAACTCTAAACAATAACCACCTTTCTTAATGAAGCATAATTTTAGCCCGTACATTTCTCATTAAAATGAGACATCTCCCAGCTCTACACGATCTTTCTTTCCAAAGTTACAGAATTTACAAGTAAAGCCCTAAATTAATTTCTTATTTCTGTAGCTCTGAGCTGACAATGAGTATGTAGGGCCTTCACAGTAACGAGTCTAGTAACGAGATAACATTTAACCTTAAAACAAGTGATGAAAATAATGTCTTGGGCATCGTCTTATTTATTCTGACTGAGAAAGGCGAGAAATTTTAGTTTGTTGACAAGGGTCAATGGAGCAGATTTTTCAAAAGTTTCATCCGGTGAAATACCAGTCTCTACCGGCCCTGTTTCAGCTCTGCTTCCGTCCACAAAACCAGGGCTGCTACATTACTATTATTTTTTATTACTATTACTCGGTAATAAGTAATAATTATTATTACTTTTATTACTTATTACTTTTCATCACGAATTGCTTTATTATTTATCATTTTAATACTATTCGGACTTTAAGTGCTTGGTACTAGTAGTAAGGGATAAAGTTGAAACTTTTATTTTATTACTTATTACTAGTAGTAATAAGGAGTAATGTTATTACTTATTACTTAGTAATAAAAGCTTCAAGTAATAAAAGTAATAAGTAATAACGAGTACTAAGTTGTGAGGAATACTGCGAATGTCTCAAATTGTATGTAAAAGTGCTGAATCTAATATGAATCTAAACAGTTTTCTGGACGTCCTCTAGAAATCCCAAGAAATCTGGAACCATCTCTGACCGATTCATCATAATAGATTATCAACGTTCTGTAGGTTTCAGTATTCGCAGACAATTTTTATTGTTATGAAAAGTTTACTAATTTCTAGTTACATCTATCCCTTGACTGAAGAAAAAATTTCCTTAACTTTTGTTGCGGTAGACTCTACATCAGTAGGTGAGATCATCTCTTTGAATATTTTCTTTCTTACCACTAAAAAATATTTTCTACTTTTCTTTCTTATGACTGGCTTGTCCATGGAATATCGGACAGGCGCTTTCCGTATTTTGTGCGCACACAGACACAGACAAACATTTTGTACGATCCTAGACTCAAGTCAAGGGAATCCTGAGAGATGGATTAGAACAACAATCCTTTAAGTTGTTCTAGAAAATTGAGATCTAGTTCAAGAAGGAAAGTGGTATCGAACAACAAGGAAAATAAAACTTCATCGATTCAACGAAGAAGATCTGTACTAGCAATCTTATCTGCCACCATTCAAAAATCAGAACGTGGACGTTCTCGAAATCGATCTGTCATTGCTAATGTCCATGGCAATAAACAAATTATTGATGATGGGCGAAATGATGGTGGTTGTATGGAGGTAGAAGCACAAAAACTAAATATTTCATCGTCCACACAACAAAGACAGCAAATATTAGCGAGCGGTTCCAATCTGCGACGAATGAATAATAATGAAGAAGAAATTGAAAAAAGTGACGATGAAGGATCTTGCTCAAGTGTATGTTTTTTGTCTTTTTTTCTTGATTATTTTATGTCTGATGAAAATTTCCTGATTCAGAAAGAGAGAGAAAATAAGTGGGCAAATTTTGGTTTTGACTGTCTGGAAGATTTTTTCAAATAAAAAGTAGATGTTTATAGTTCCTGAAATAAAACAATATATTGTTTCTTGATTTATTTTATACTAAATGTCTGTTTTGTTCTTTTCATTTAGAAATACAAAGCTTATAATCGTGTTGATGCTAATTTAAGGAAACACATTGGGAAGATTCATAAAATGGGGCAATATTTATTCAAATCACAAAGAAAGGGCCTATCGTTTAAGGAATCGCTGATATCGCCCGAATTGAAGAAAACACTGCATAATGCTGCAATTTATTGCATAGTTAAAGATGGTCGGCTGTTCGGAGATTTTCGACGGCACGGTATGCGAAGTTTTCTCTCTGTAGCAGTTCCTGGATATATGGGATCCCATCGAAATACTGCCGTTCGACGTCTAAAGCAATTATATATTAAATATCGACGAGATTTACGCTCCATTTTAATGAAGATAAATGATATTTCTATCACAACTGATATCTGAAAGAATTCATGTCATAAGTACTTCATTGTTTTAACAGCCCATTTTTACGACAAAGGATTCAAGTATACTTCACTAGTGATTGACTTTCGACAATTTATTGGTCTATGTAATGCTGTACAAATTCGAAAGTACATTAACTATGAAATTGATCGATTACAAATTCATTACAAGCTTCGATCGATCACAACCGACAACGGATCGAACATCAAAAGTACAACAGAAGATGGTCGTTTTGGAACTCGGATCGCCTGCTATGGTCATAGCATTAATTTGGTCGTTTCACAAGGTCTATGTTTATGGAAGAAAACAGCTGTACTGAGGAAGTAAGATCTAACTTTGTTTGTATCTTTGAGAAAAAATAAAAACCGATAGCCTCAGAGAGAAACCATTCTGAATGACAGATAAGAGAAAGATAATTAAACTCTCATATAAAAACTATGCGCGATAATTTATATTCCAAGATAATGGCTTCTATAAAATTCTAACATGTCGCTATGAAACTTGAAGATTCCATACCTGACTTTAGTTATCTAAAAACAAACAATGGAAATCTGACTTTTGGTCGGACAAAAAAAATGAGTAATTGCAATGTATATAAAGCAACAAAAAAATTTATTTGAATTGGATTCTAATCAGCGTTGAAGTGAACGATTAATATGAATTTTTCTCTATTTACTGATATATTGTTTTTACATCCGCAATAAAATCACTTCAGAAAAAAGAAATTGGTGATTAAAGAAGAAAAAAATATTATATCTCATTTATCTTTTCTATTTTGTTTTGACTTTTCTCTCTAAGAAGGTGCCCAAATACAACAACAATTGAACTCGAAGCATCAACATCGGTAAATGAAGAAGAGAGGTGGTCGATATAGAAGAAATTCAAGATGAATTTATGGAAGATGGAGTTGACACAAACTCAAAAGATAAAGATGAAACATCAGACGAAGGCTCATTTAGTGAAGATTCAAGCGACGAAGAAAACTATATTGATGAAGAAGAAGAACGACAATATAATTATGAAAAAACAAATGATTCTACCGTCGATCACATATTTGAAGACATAATAACAAACGATAGTGCTCCATATACGCTAATATTCGGCATTCATCTGTTATTATGCCGTGTTCGTTCATTGATCAAATTAATTCAAAAATGTCATTTAATTAATGCCTATGTTCGTAAACAAGCAAAGACGGATAAAACTATCAAAGGAGGTGAACTTATACTTGACTTTCATATCCGATGGAATACAACTTGTGTTATGCTGGCAAAATTCATCGAACATCGACGTATAATTATTGAAATTACTAATACACCTGAAAAAATTGTTAATCTTAAAAAAGCCAAATGCAATCGCCTGATGTCATTGACACTGCGTCCTCAGCATTGGGAATGCCTTATTACCTTGAAAAAAATTCTCGATCCATTTTACAGTGCTACAAAGGCATTCTCTGGGCGTAATTATGAAACAATTGCTCAAAGCAAAACAATTCTCTTTGCACTAAAAAATTTCTTGTTGAAAGAACAACCAGATCATCATCTGGAAAATATTATAAAAACGTCAACTCCTGGAAAAATATAAATTGTATTTTCAAGACAAAATCACAGAAGAACAATGCCGTTTAACACTGGTAAATTCAACCTTTCTGTATTTATCAGATTCTCTATATTTAATTATTATTCTTTTTCGCTATTATTTTCAGGCTGCTCCTTTCTTATCACCATTTGCAAAACAATATCTTACCATAGCCGAATTGAAGGAAGCAGAAAGTATAATTATCGAAGAATATGATGAAATTCTTCGATGGCAGAAATGCATGTCACCGTCAACGTCAGGTACAGTGGCAACATCGTCAGATATTGGTTCATAATTTTCGAAGTCAACATCCAAAAATCATGTAGAAAAATCCATGGATTATTTATTAGATATTTGCTTAGTGGAGAGACCACCGGTTCGGAATGACACTCGCCAGACTTCCGTGTGAACCATGCAACAAGAGTTAGGTTATTATGCGATGACAGGTACATCGAAACAAACATTCGAATCGTATTAAATTCGAATCAAGATAAAATTCCTCGATTAGCTGCTCTTGTTCGACGGTTTTGTTCAACGCCAGCTACAAGCGTGGCTAGTGAATCATTGTTTAGCTGTGCGAATTACATACAGGGGAAACAAAGACCTTCCCTACACATCTTTGTTATACAATGGTATTACGAGATAGTAATGTAATCGAAAGATTAAGTCAGACTTATTAAAACTTGATTTTATTTATCCATGGAACAATATAAATCTTTTTTTTCTTGATATATCTGATCAGACTTTTTTCTATACACATGTGAAACATATGATTTTTATTCTCTTTTTTTATTTAAGAAAAGATATTAGAATAAACTTGTGATGTTTGATGAAGAAGAAAAGGTTAATCTGTTCCAATCAATTAGCTGAATAAGAGAGATATATTCCATGTTCACGCTAGTCGTCTTCTGTTAAAATATTCTACACTATAGGGAGCAACTAAACAAACAGAATCGATCATTAGTTATTTAATGACTCCGTTTATAAGCCAAATTTTCTTCTTTTCGAAAACTGGAAGATATACTATCGCTATGTACGTAAATGATTCAAGCATAACGGTAGTTAAAAATTTTATAAACTGTCAAAGGCAGAAACAGACGTCTATTGATTAAAATGAGGAAGACTTCCTTAAGAGACTAAATTAACCGTTTACACTCCCAACCAGTTGAGCAGTAAGTCAGCTTATAGCCTGGAGACCATACTCGCCCAATTACGCATGCGTAAACAGTGAAAAATAACTTACGATGCCAAAATCAGTTTCAATATTGTCTTAGTATCTCACTGTGAGAACCGAAATCCAACTGAAAACCATCTACCCAAAGTATTTTCTACCGTCTTTTTATTTTCTTATTACTTTCATTACTTTTTGTAGTTATTATCTTATTACTTATTACTTTTATTACTTTTGAAATTTATTGCTTATTACCAAGTAATAAGTAATAATACCTTTGTTATTACTTATTACTAGTAATAGTAATGTAGCAGTCCTAATTCAAAATCATTCTAGAATGATATTGACATGATAAAAATCGAAGAATGCAAATGAGGATAGGTTTTTGTCCGGATACTTTTTATGCAAAATCAATGTGATATTCAAAATCTATGAAAAACACTGCACCGAATGATATATAATTCGATGTGTTTTGAGAAAAAAAATTTTGTTCCAAATTTTAGACAAAACACCTGAGGCGACCTCAGGCAAAAATTTCGAGGAGAACTTTCGTCTGTCTTCAAGTTCAAACTTAGGTGAAAAGGTTTCTTGGCATGCTGAATCCGAATATCACAGTCTCCGGGTTGGAATCCTTGCGAATAAAAGTGAGTAGTTTCCATATTAATCAAAAGTAGGCAATGTTTTGAGGGCTAACCTCGGTTGTACTCTTGACAGGCCCGTACCCAAGATTTTGCTAAGGGGGGTGTACTATACATGTAAATCGATATTCTGGTTTTCTTGCATTTTGTTTTTTAGTTGTACCGGTTCTGATTTCGATATAGGCATCTGTGCGACCGGTTCAGAAAACTAACAGGACGCAAAAGGATCTTCGCACCGGTCTGCATCAATGAAGCTCTCGAAAAAATTCTAGATATCTCTTGCCACAACACATTTAAGCAACCGGAGTAGCTTTTTCTTAACCTTTTTACTTGTCATTCCTAATAGCAGAAAAAAGTCTTCTCCCGCTAAACGACCTCTACTCAAAGTATTTACAATATTCAATCCCCTTCACCTAGACGAAATATCAACTCTAATAAACCATTCGACAGAGAATTTCACGGACTACAAAATGACATATAGAACAGTCCTAAGAAAATGTAACTGGGTAGCCTAAGATCCCAAATACTCAGTGGCATGACAGCAAACCGATGGAGAACGACGAACGATAAAATGTGACCACAAATAGAGAATTAAAAACGAAGAAAGAGCCAGATAATAGTATAGAAGGGTCCAGACACATACACAGAGAAAGAGAAATGTATGTTTAGCTAGAAATAAAATGGTAAGGAGAGATAGATAACAAAAGAACACGTTATTCTTCTTCTTTAGATCTTTTTGTTGTACAAATGTAGTATAGGACTGCACGATACATAAGTGAAAAATTTTCTTTCGAAAGAGGTATAACTTATTTATTGTTTCTATTTGTGTTTGTCAACACGTTGAAGAAATCATCGAATTAAATATGTCGCACTTTTATTTGTTATAAATCAAAACAGAAACGCACGTATGTACAGAAGTAGTAAGAAATTATGCTAAAGAGTAGCGGTTCTCGTCTTTATCATCCATGGAGTCATAAGAGTCTGAGGCCTGAATACTGTCAGTAGCTTTTTTTTGTGACTAATTTTGTATGAAGAATGGGGGATGAAAGAAGTTTCAGACAAAAATAAATCCGACCTTTTTTTATGGCTTACAAGCAATATTCTCAGTTGAGTCCAAAAGTCTGTCTTAACAACGATCTGTGCATACAAAGCATGTGACCAAAATTTGATGTTAATTAGAGTTAAGTCCGATATATAGCTGCGGCAAAAAGTTCGTAAGTTCTTCTATCCAAAAATCGTAACAGCAGTGCAGATGATAAGAAAAACTATTATTCGGTTCTAATATTAAAAAAAACTGAAATCTTGAGCGAATATCCACTGTCAGCTAGCGTTCTGCAATTAAAATTGCGTTGTGTAAATAAAATCTGCGTAAATGTAAGCGTACATTGAAAAATTTGGACTTCAAAAAATACTAGACAAAGTAGAACTATAGCTCTGTTGCACTGTTATACAATCAATTTAAATTTAAACAAGGGTTTTTTTCATTTTAATCTCTTTTTAGAAAATTGTATTACACCAAAATCAAATCAACACGTAATAATAATTATATAGAGTTAGATGTAGAAATTGAAAGAAATAATTGCACAAAATTGTATACGCAATAATAGAAAAAAGCATAAATCATTTATTCAGTACAACTCAGCATACATAATCAATAATCTATCAGAAAAGTTAATGAATGCTTGTACTCAGAAAGAGTTCATTGCTTGTTCAATTCACGGTTTATTTGTAATAACAAGTGGACCTAAATTATCACCCGTTTCCTTGTTCCAGGCATTATGTGAACCATCACATAGTGGAAACTGATAAGAAGAAAGAAAAAAAGTGCAAAACAAAGTAAGTATTACAAATGGTAAAGGAAGCTAATGCAAATTGCATGATTCTAAGACAGTCTGATCTAAGTCTGATCCGTATTTAAGGAAAACCTATTACCTTTTTGTTTCCTAATCAGGCTTTTCAATAGTTCTAAAGGATGAGTGTTGAAGGTTTGCATGACATTCTTGTCTTTAAGCATAGAATTTTTTTTGTGGTTTTTGTGTATTAACATACCTTTTTTGATTTCCAACATCGGCAATAAGAAACAGTCTTATTTTGTGATGCATTACACTGAGTAATAACATCTTCAATATCATATTTATCCACTAATTTATCAACATCTTTTCTTATTGTTTTATTAATATGTTCATGTTTCGGCTGATGTTCTCCTTCAGTAATAGTAGTGCTCTTTTTTGATTGATCAACAACAGCGTCAGAAGTGGTAAAAGGATCCATTTGCTCTTAACTAAACGTTTTATGATCTAGAATCGACAGAAAGAGCAATAGTACATTATAAAAAAGAAATTTTGTACTGAAGTACTTGATATTTAAAAACTTTTTTTCCGTATGTAACTGCTAAACAAATGCATTTTAAAAATCACTGTGCTCAAAAGTGTTTTAATATCGATCCACGTACAGTTAAAACGGTATATGAGAAAGAAAAAGTTAATTTACTGATATACTCTAATGCCATGTTTTCTTCTTTCCGATCATATGGTTACAATGTAGATAGAGATGGAAGGAGAACAGTATCAAACCACCTCAGCATCCACCGAGCATACGTTTTTCGCAGAGTGGTTTCGCCTACCGAACCTCTCTTCTTCAACATTGTGTTTGTTGACATTTCTAAAATCTAATACAGACTTGTTATAATACTTTTGTTTCCAGGAAGCACGTGTATATGTTAGTGATTTTTTTCGCTTGATGATAATGGATGTTGCAATTATAGAGTAAAGCTTTCTAAGTACCCGTCACGGGAGAAGAATTGCCAAAATGTAAAGTTGAATCTTTCTGCTAGCTTTTCGACTGTTTGTCTTCAAACAGTCGAGTTCAGTTCTTGAATAATCGTGCCCGGAAGACTGAGACCCATTCATCTCTGCTGCAAGGAGCCAAAATCTGAAAATGATAATGTTACAAAGTCGATGAAGGCTTTCATTCTCTAACAATCTCGATCATACTTTAAACTCATGTCTACGAGGGCAGACAACAAGACATTATAAACAGGAAATGAAATCCTATTTAATTTCTTGTTGAAATCTTCAACTTTCATCAACGAATTTCTTGGTTAAAAACCGAAAGAACGTATATGAAACAAGTACATCTTCACATACTATAAAATTCTTTGCTTTCTTTCCACATGTGTGACAGTGTGACCCTATATATTATCGTCCTTCACAGACATTATATCTCTACGCAAGCTCAACGAATCAAACATCAGCCGAGCGGTATTTAAGAAACAAAACGTTCTATTTGCACTCTCTATGACTTTTGAGTGATTCGATTACTCCTGATAATTATGTAATTTTTATAGATCAATAAATAATTATTGTGCATAAACGTCTTAAGAGGTCGTCACTATACAATAACTGTATGGGTATGCCATTTTTCTTGTAGGGAAATAAGTGGATCTCAAAGTTCACCCTCATACATGACTTGTGTATGTTCTTGATCAATTGAAGCGTCATCAATTCCGAATGAGAAATTTATTTTTTGTACACTGTGCTTCGATAGCTCAATGGTCCGGATAACCAATATCATTCATTCGATTCCTGGTGAAGCACATCTAGACATGGGCGGGACTATCCCGATCCTGAGTTTTTTTACAAGAGTCGGGACTACAAACTTTTTTTCAGGGACAAAACTGGTACCGTTATTAGAACTAAGATTTCTTTTGACAGTTGCATAAAATCAGCTAAAATTTCACCTGTTCTCCATACTTAAATAGAAATGTTGGAGAAAATCGTCAGGAAGTCTACAGTTCTTTTGTAGGCATTCAACTTTCCATCTACGTCATGCAAACTTTATTAAAAACACCAAAATCTCAATTCGAGATTCCAAAAAAGTAACTAGTTTCATTGAAAAAGCAACCGAGATCGGGCGGAATCAAAACAACTTTACGCGACCGGGGTCGGAAACCGTTTCACCATTCTCGTTCGCTGGAATGATTTTGTCGGACAGGAATTTTCACAAGAATCCTGAGCGTATTGTCAAGAGCAAGTGGTACCCAGGAAGAAATTTTGAACTCTCGCAGGTCCTTTGCAGGCATTAACATTTTTTTAAGGTTTTAAAAACCTTCTTTTGACACATTTTAAGGCTTTACACGACTCTGAGATTTTTAACACGTTCTCTGGAGTTACCCATGTGAACTGAAGACCTTCGAATGCGTTATTTTTATAAACGTATGTAGAGTTTTAATACATTGTAACGTCTTTAGAAAATTTTTCGGACCCTAACACTTCTCAGGCGTTACAATATAAGGCGTTCTAATTCCTTCTCGTTTCTTAATTGACTTGAAGCCATTAAGTAGAAGGCATTAGTAGAATTTTAATTTTAACGCATTTGTGCGAGTTAAGAGTACGAAGCCATGTAAACAATTGTTTGCCGTCGTCGTTTAACGCATGGGAATGCGTTAAAAGTCAAAGCATGTTAATTCGCTGCAAGTTTTCGTGGATAATTAAACTCGTTATTTCGCCTATTGTATTCTTCAATAAATGTTGAACGAAGATTGCAAATTAAAATCTATTTTCACTTGTTTAACGCCTTCGATTTCCTAAAAATCACGTCTTTCTTTTATAATGCGTTAACATCCATTTGACACCCAAAACTTTGTACATGTTGTTAATGCATTAAAATCGAAAAAAAGTGTTTTAACGGGTATGAATGTATTCGTTGTCCATGAAGGTGCGAGCGCACAAAAGTGAAACGTGTACAAAGTTTTGGGTGTCAAATGGATGTTAACGCAGTATGAAAGAGAGATGTCTTTTTAAGGAATTCAAAGGCGCTGAACAGGAGAATATCGATTTTAGGTTTGATTTTGTCCTTATTTCTGAAATAGCAAAATCATAGTGGTAGTCCGTTAGAGGGTAAGTATTAGAATCCAGGTCGAATTCGCCCGATCGGATCCTTTTAGTTCCGATGATTTTCGGAGATCGGACGCCCGACCGGATCCGGAGACAGGAATCTGCTCAATTCCTCGCGTTCAGATATTTGGTTCCTTGAGGATCCGGAGATTGGATCCGATATCCGGAACCAGTCGGATCCGCTAATTTTCGGTGAGCGGAAATTGACGGATCCTGTGATGTGCACTTTATATTTATTCTTTCATTCGTGTGCGCATAATATATTTACCGTTTTGTTTCACGACAGAAGCACTTTAAATGCGGTACTACAGAAAATGAAAAACGAGAAGTTGCTTTTCTCAAATTCTTAATGATATGAGTCATCACTCACACTGTTCAACGGATGTGTTGTACACGTCCTAGCTAGTGGGACCTTCCACTCTCTCGAATAAACAGAGAGAAGAACCACTAGAAAATGAAAGAAAAAATTGCAGACTATTTTTAACTTCAAAACTGGTCACATTCTGCCACATCCAGCAAAATCATATTCATCAGTCGGAAGATGCCGAAAGCCGTCGGATCTTTTCCGACATCTTCCGGCCCGGATTCCGAGCAACGGATTTCCGGCATAATCCGGCAAGGTTGCTGTCGGATTTTACCGAATTCCGACAACTTTCGGCAGGTTCCATCAGGATCTTGACGCCGGAATCAACGATCTGAGAAGCAAGTTCGGTGTTTGGCAACGCTGGTGAAGAGAAAAGTGAAAGTTTGTCAGACTGAATATTCGCTTGTATCTTTTCATTTAAGCACTTTTGAGTGAAAGTGAAGAGATGATTCGAAAGCTCTTTTCATGCTCTGCAGCTTTGATATGAGACTATTTTTCTGAATATGTCTCATTTTAGAGTATTTTTCAACGTTTGTAGAGCACTACAAAAAAAGGCTAAAAAATGTAATTCCGTCACGACATCTATTTTGCTCATAAAAACCGTGCTGCGTAACTGATTTATTCTAAATTTTTACCACAAATCAGCATCTTATTAGACATCTCTGATAAAACTTCATTATTAGAAAAAATAAAAGATTCTTGTCTCAAGAAGATCGTTCATATTGAAATTCTAATTTCTGTTATCATTAATGAACTTTTAATCAACATAACCAGTAACAGCTTCATTTCGACATGGCTAGATTATTATGACAGATCGTTTTCTATTGAATCTCATAGCTATGTCATTAGTTTCACTTCTTTAATAGTAACATGTACACAATAAGATACCTCCAGTACAATAACACTCATACTAAAAGTCTCCTTATACAATTAAATAGTCTTTATCATTCGCCACACAAATCATACATTTGACCAACGATCATTTGTTGCTATTGACCCTTCATAGAATTAGCCTTCACATCGAAGTAAAATCTAAATAAAATAGCTTTATTAGTCATTCTTTGATAGATCTTTTCACAACGCACCTTTCTCCATGTCATCAACGTCGTCTAAGTCAATATCGGTCATTTTTGTATCATCCAAAACATCTGCTGGTTTCCCATACGCTTTAACCAAACCGTCACTAATCAACACAATTTTATCACTATGTTGGATTGTATCTAGACGATGTGCAATTGTCAGTACTGTTTGTGTACTGAATTTCTCTCGAATAACTTGTTGAATTAATTTATCGGTATGCATGTCAATGTTAGCTGTTGCCTCGTCAATCAACAAAATTTTGCTTGGTTTTAACAGAGCTCGAGCTACACATATCAACTGACATTCACCTACACTAAAATTACTTCCATATTCAGCTATTTGTGTGCTTAGTCCATCAGGTATTTCTGACATTTTATCCTGCAATTGAACCATCGTCAGTGCTATCCACAATTCTTCGTCTGAGTGTTTGCTGAATGGATCAAGATTATACCTTAGAGTATTACTGAATAGAACGGGCGACTGTGGAATAATATTCAAATGGAAACGTAGATCGCTTAGACTAATTGTATTAATATCAATATCGTCAATACATATTTGACCTTCTGTCGCTGATTTGTCGACTAGTCGAAAAAGAGCTTGAAAAATAGACGATTTTCCAGCCCCTGTTCTCCCACAAATGCCCACTTTATCACATGGTTCAATATCGAGATTGATGCCTTTCAATACCGGTTCAAGCTCAGCACGATAACGAAATTTATAGTTCTTAAATTCGATTTTTCCTTTCGTTGGCCATTCAGACGGCGGCTTCTGTTTTGCATTGTAGAAATCAGGTTCGGGCGGCAGACGAGAATACTCGCATATTCTCTCAGCACTTGTCATGTGATTTTCCATTTCAGCCGATTGCCTTACCGCCCACTGAAACATTGATGACAAAGTAATACAGTACATTAAGCCTAACGCCGCCGAAGAGGCATCAATTTGATGGCGTAGAGCAACTGTGAGTATTGCCATTAAAGTTGTTAGTGCACTTGTCATTAAATCCAGTCTCAGTCCGAACCATCTTACACCTGCATTCAACTCAAACCAAGCTCTCGTATTTGCATCAATTCTTTCGATAAACGAATTAATCAAATTGTCTTCAGTTTTAAACGCACGTATTGTTACCAGTCCACTAAGTGATGACGAAAATAGAGCATATATAGGACTTCTTGTGACGCTATCCAAACGTTTAATTTGTCTACTTGATTTCAAAAAGAATCGTCTGATCCAGATAAATGAGGGTACGAGCGGAACTAATATGAACAATACCCATGGATTAATAATGCCGAGAATAACGACAGCACCTAGAGTCATAATCAAAGACTGGGCACTGTCAAAAAATGCCTGAGGCAATAGTTCATCAATAACTTGTTGATCTTTGCTAAATCTGTTGAGAATGCGACCAACTGGGTTACTTTCATGAAATCTTAGTGAACTGTATAATACGCCACTTAACATGCCATTATGGAGGGCTGTTGCGCCGCGTAATAACAAGAAAAAGAAATAATCAGCCCGAATGAGAGAGATCACTAATGTGGCAAGTGCGAGGCTCAGAAATACTGCCGGATAGTGATGGTCGCGCTGACGTTCATGAGATTTTGACGACCATACAGCATCAGTCATGTATTACATAGATCAACTCTGGAGAAATGAACTTTGTGTGGAACGTTGTGTATAGAGGACAAAATTCATCCAGTTGGTCCGTGAATTTTACAAGAAAAACTACTATTAGAGATATGACCTCAAGTATTTGAGTTAGAATTGGAGGTAAATCGACGTTGCAGATATGAGGACGTCTTATTTAGAAAAGAAAACTCTAATTTAGCTGATTAGATTTTCTAAAGATTTTGAGAAGTGCTAGCATAGACGGGAAATGATAGGTTCTTTCAGATCAAGAATCACATAACAGAGATGTGCAGGTTGACGTTGTTCTAACCGTCAGCGTAGAGCACCGAACTCTTTCTAGAACAAAAAGTTTATAGTACTTCTTGCTAACGAAAAGTAATATCAGTGAGTTCACTTTTTCGGGGGGGAGGCCGGAGCATGAACATTTCCAGAGACCAGGGACAGATATTAGCCACAGTGCATATCGCTATTGCATAACTTCGAAGGTGGAAAAGGATATTTATTTTCCTTAGATCGCATACTGAATTTCACAAAAATTACTTGGAAGAGGAATGACCATTGAAACATTAGCAAAGACAAAAGATCGCTGTCATTTTTAAAGAAAAAATCGTTATCTAAGCAAAGATGTACGATAATTACTCGACAGACACGCAATGCAAAAGGGTGATTACACGATATGCGAAAGATACCAATGCTAAGCCATCGATTAGTTCCATCATATAGTGCTTCACCCACGAACATCAGAATTACGATTGGCACAAATCCAATCCATCCGTGATTCGCTGTAAATAATTTCATCCACACACCAGCACTAATGT